AATGATGATGATGACGATGATGACGACTACAGTATTCAGCAAAGAAGTAAAATAAAACAAGATAAAAAAACCGAAATCAAAAAAGATAAAAGGGTAAAAACTCCTTTAAAATTTTATTCATCTATCAATCAATTTAACTTTCTTTCTTTCTCTCTTTCTCTCTCTTTCTTACTTCTTCTCTTTCTCTTTTCTCTCTCTCTCTCTCTCTCTCTCTCTCTCTCTTACTTCCTCTCTTTCTTTTTTCTCTCTCTCTCTTTTTCTCTTTCTCTCTTTCTTAGTTTAAATTGTAAACAGCGAAAAAATTCAATCCAAAAAAAAAAAACAAAGATAAAGAAATAGTTAAACCGGAAGTAAGTGTCAGCGGAAACGGAAGCAGGAGAATTGAAAAATAAGGAGATAGTATGTTTAAATAAGGGATGGAGGCCATGTTGAATTGGCGGGAAAGGAAATTAAATTAAATTACTTTCACTAGCATTTTACTTTAATTAAATTTTATTTGTATTTATTTAATTAATTTATAATTTGTTTGCATGTTTGCTTCGATGTATGTATGTATATATATATGTAAAATCATACAAATATTTAAGTTTATTTGTTTGTTTGTATTTGTTTGTTTTGTTTGTTTGTATGTATGTTTGTTTGTATTTGTTTGTTTTGTTTGTTTGTATGTTTGTATGTATGTTTGTACGCACCATCTCGACATCATACGTATATAAATACAAATTATAATGTAAGCAGCTCACCTTGTCTAGATAGAGTATAATTATTTCACATTCCTCAGATGCAACATTTAAAAAATCTTTTTTTAAAAAACATCACAACCATGATCATAGTTCATCATCATCAACATCATCAACATCTTCTTCATCATCATCTTCATCAACATCTTCATCATCTTCTTCATCGTCATCATCATAATACTATTTGTCAGCTGATAAGGTAAAACTTGTTATAAACAAATACATACAAATAAAACAACAAACTAACTAGCAAACATACAAACATGTGTACAAACAAGCAAACATATAGACATACATACAAACAAACATTCAAACAAACATACAGATATAAACATACGTTTATAATTATCTATAATTAATATTTTTATCCATAATAAACATCATCTTTTATTGGATTGTGGAGTTGAATTTACTATGGGGTGAAGCTTATATACACTTGCTTCGTACGTTTGTACGTACGTACGTATGTATGTATGTATGTATGAATGTATGTATGTATGTATGTATGTATGTATGTATGTATGTATGTATGTATGTATGTATGTATGTATAACTGAGAAAAAAGAGAGAGAGAGGGAGAAAGAGAGAGTGTGAGTGAGAGAGAGAGAGAGAGAGAAGTGAAAGATAGATACAGGATGACAAAAGAAGAACATACGTGCGTGCAAATATTTATAACTAGACAATCTTGCCCTGAACAAAAACAACAACAACAGCATTAATAAAAATAATTATAATAATAATAATAGCAACAATAATTATAATAATAATAACACTAATAATAATAAGCATAATATTAAGAAAAATAATTGAAAAATAAGAAGACTCTGGGGAAGTTTTGGAATGGAAAAATATTCATCTAATTTGCAGAACTTTTAAAACCTCAATTAAAATCATTTCTAGGAAAAACATCTTCTTTTTTAAGAATTACACACACACACGCCCCACACAGACATACACAAATACTTACAAACCAACACACACACACACACACACACACACACACACACACGCATACAAATGTACACAAGTATTCACAGTACATTAAAAATTTCACCATATGCATGTACGTATGTGTATGTGTACATGCTACTTTCCTATTTCATATAATGAGTATTACTACTACTGCTGCTACAGCTGCTACTACTACTACTACTACTACTACTACTACTACTACTACTATTACTATTACTACTACTACTACTATTACTACTACTACTACTATTACTACTATTACTACTATTACTACTACTATTACTACTACTACTGCTGCTGCTGCTGCTGTTGCTTCTGCTACTACTGCTACTACTACTGCCATTTATGTTTTCCTAGGTGGATAAAATTTAAAAAAATTTCCATACTGTCGCCTGTTCTACCTTAGATGGCGTAATCATGACGTAATCATGACGTGAATTTGATGCTAATTTGAAACGAATATGACACACAATATGATATAAATATCTCTAGTTGCAGTAAAAGTAGCTCCAGCCGCAGTTGTTGTAGTAGCAGCAGCAGCGGTAGCAGCAGCAGCAGTAGTAGCAGCAAGAGTAGTAGCATTAGTAGTAGTATTAGTAGTAATAGTAGTAGTAGTAGTAGTAATAGTAGTAGTTGTAGTAGTAGTAGTAGTAGTAGTAGTAGTAGTAGTAGTAGTAGTAGCAGTAGACATTTTTTCATTTAATTTGAGAAGCTCTTCGTGTAAATACTGAGAAAAAAAAATCGGAGCAATTTTTTCAAGATGAGCAATAATAGGATCGCAACCTTTTTAATACACAACTACACAAACAGACGGCCAGACAAACGCTGCAATTTCTATGCCACTAAAATTTCTTTGTTCTTTTTTTGGTTATGATTTTTATGTCTATGTTCGTGTGTGCAATGTCTATGTTCTTTAATTTCCTTATTTATATTCTTTTGTCTCCATTTTGTTTACATATTTGTTTATGTTTTTTATCATTTTTATTTATTGCATTGTTTACACTTATTTTTCTATGTTTTTTAAAATTAAAAAAAAATTTCATGTTGTTGTTTACGTGTTTGTTTACATTTTTGGTTATGTTGCTCTACGCGTTATATACCTAAATTTTTTTACCTATGTTTATTTTTGTATCTATGTTTATTTTTGTATCTATGTTTATATTTGTATCTACGTTTAATTTTGTATCTATGTTTATTTTTGTGTTTTTATCATGGATCTATGGTTCGTTTTTTTTGTTTATTTGTTTTTTGGTTTTGTTTATATTTTTCCATAATGGCATTCAGTTGTTCATGTATTGCATAGTGTTACATCACATTTATTATAAGTGTATTTAATGATTTTTTTTTACAAAAATACGGATGTGATACAACATTTTGAACGTGTATATATATACCTTCAAAAGGTTTGGCAGTTTTGTATTTTAATACCACAAACACATACACTCACACACACACACACACACACACGCACGCACACATAAACACCCAAACAATATATGTGTCTGTATTTATATGATTTTGTATGCGTGTATGTGTTTATGTATTCATCTTTGAATGTATGTGTGTATGTATGCGTCTGTATAGTTATGCATTTGTATGTTTGTATGTATATTTCTGTATCTGTTTGTTTGTATGCTTTTGTATGTTTTTGTATGGCTGCATTGCAAACGTGCAAGCACATACAAAGCAAACAAGCGAACAACTTCGTTCTAATTACTCAACTGCCATCTATCAAGGAAAATTATTAATTTTCTTCTTTTTTCTTTCATCTCTCCTTTCCTCTCTCCTTCTCTCTTTCACTTTTTCTCTTCTTTCCTTTCTCTCTCTTTTTCTCTTTCTCTCTCTCTCTCTTTCTCATAAATGAGTGAATGAATAATAAAACGAACAAACGAACAAATGAATGTAATGTGTGAATGTATGCATGCATGCGAACATTCATACATTATGAATGGAAGAATGATGGCTTGAATGAATGAATAAATGAAGGAATTAAATGAACGATCGAACGAAAGAACTACAAAAGAAGGAACGAATAAATGAATGAACGAACGAATGAAATGACAAGTTTTTTGATTTTTGATAACACTTTAACAACTTTGCTGTCGTTATGGTAACATTTACTGAGAGCGCCTTAATAATGGCAATAATAAAAAAAAACTTGTTATTATTATTATTATCGTTGTAGAAACGTCTGCCTCGATTATTATTACTATTATTAACAAATTTAATTTAAATGAAATATAATAAATTAAACAAATAACCTCATTAATTAATTAATTAGTTAATTAATTAATAATAATAATTGAGAAAATAACTCAGTGAAACATGCCAGTTAAAACGGGAGAACCTATCCTATAGATAATGTAATTAAATAATAAATATTATAGTAAAAATTAAATTATAATACAGTAATAATAATAATTATTATAGAAATACAAAATGGCGGATGAACCGGAAAATGAAATTGGTGATTTGGATAAACTCCAAGAAGCTGATAATGTGAAATCAGGTTTCATATTTTCACATAATATACGAATAACTTTTTAATTTTCGTACAAAATTTCAAGTGGCTTTATAAAATCATTCACCTACTTCTAAAAACGTAAGAAAATTTTTTTTTACCCAGAACAAGAAAACTCCAAACCACCCACTGAGACCCCTAGAAAAGTTACGGAACCGGAACATCCAGCTGCCCAAATTGACATGCAGATCTTAGACCCGAATCGCAAGTTAACGACTTCAACGATCGAAGACGCAGACGTGAATGTATTAATTGGAAAAATGTCTGAACCTGAGTTGAAAGATGAGAAAGCGTCTATACTTACAGAACCTGTCGCTATGGTTAAGGAATTAGATGAACTGACTGAAGAAAAACAACCAAGTAGTGAAATTGGGGAAAAATTTTCTGATATAAACGAAACTGAAGAAGAGGGAACGTTGAAAATGAGCACAGCAGATGGAAGCACTCGTTCGAAATCAAATAGATCGGATCCAGATGGACAATCTGGAACTCTCGCATTTGATTATGATTCTGATTTAGAAAATCAACTGGAAGGAGAGGAGGATGTTAAAGAAGAAGAAGACGAGGAAGAAGACGAGGAAGAGGAAATAAGTGAAAAAATGTTACCCGTAAATGATGATAAGATACAGAGCCCTTCAGAGACCATCCCGCTAAAACCTTCGCAAGATTTTGAAAAGATATCTCCACAGCCATCTTGGGAGTCAATGACGGAGTGTCCAAGCATCGCACACAAAGTGACAGTTTTTGGACCTTCCAGTTTCCTTGACATGGCTCAACCACCCGACGAACTAGATGTAGGAAACGAACCTGACACGATAGAACCCAACTATGAAGTTAATTGCCCACTCATCAAACTGACCACCAAACCACAAGATGATGGAGAAAATGAAGAAGAGCCAAGAACTTTACTGGGAATTCCGTTATCTCTAGTTAAATGTTTCGGGCATGAAAAATCTCTACCAGTTCTCAGCATGTCTCAGGGTCAAGAATTATCAATTCTCTACGCCTGTTCTCACTGCGGAGTTATTTACGATGTTGAGAACAAAGAGGAATACATCTTGCAAGGTCATAGAAATAGTATCTCTTGTTTAGCTGCAACGCACGACAAAAAAATGGCAATCGTTGGTGACAAGGGACCCAACAGTATCGTTAACGTCTGGCAAGTCTTACTCAAAACTAAACAGCTGAAGCCGGTCAAAACATTTTTTAATTTTCAAGAGTACGGCGTTTCAGCTGTCGCCATGTCAAACACCAATACTTACCTGGCTATTATCAGTGCCAATCCTGTACAATTTTTAACAATTTGGAACTGGACAGATCCCAGCGATATTCCCATCGTTGAGATTCGGATAAATCCAGCTTACGGATACCAAAAGGACATAATATTCAACGCAGACGACAGTTCGCAACTTGTTTCTAACAGCGAGACCCGGGTGGTCTTCTACGCGTGGAATGAAAGTATGATAAAGTCCTATTCACATCAGATGACCGCATCCGATCTGCATAAGATCGGAAAATTCACGACAACCGTCTTCTTTAAGAACGTCCATTCGGCACTTTCCGCCACGAATTCCGGAAAATTTGTCGTCTGGGAGAAGTACAAGTCTCATTTATTGAATGGATTGACGCCATTCAAGAGGATTCAAAAAATTGTCCGAATGCAAAATAAACCAATCACTGTCCTAACAACTGTCAATAAGATGATTGTCACCGGTGATGCGATCGGGCAGATTAAATTTTACGACGAAACATTAAAATTGGTGAATTGGTTCCAGGATGTTAACCTGGGTTCTATAACGAGTATATCGTTTGACTTCTGCTCGGAATCTATAAAAAGTAAAGATGATTCATTTATGCTCGAATCTTATTTAAAAGGTAACGCCTTTACGACTCCGAATTTCATATTCGCAACGTCCATGGCTCGGTTCGTGTACGTCACGGCAAACGGGACCAAATATGACATAGTTAGCGATGATTTCGACTGCTCAGTGGTGGCAATGGACATCCACCCTTTCAAACCCCTCATCGCCGTTGGTGGTCAGAACGGTTTTTTGAAATTACTACATTACAAAAATGGTGATTCGGTGGCGTCGAAACTTTTCGAGAACGGTAAACAGGCCATCTCCTGCTTGAAATATAACGTCGATGGAAGCATGTTAGCAGTTGGATTATCAAATGGTAAAGTAGAAGTTTTGCACGGATTAAACCTGAGATCTTTCTGTAAAACCTACCTGAATGATACTAATGAAGCGGTAACCCACATCATATTTTCTCACAACATGCAGTATATGGCGACCGCAGATGCTGGCCATGCAGTTACTTTGTACAGCATCGTGAAAGACAAGATATGGATCGACGAAAATCAAAATTTCAAGTTTATCGGACGTTATAAGGCGCACAATAAATCGATCAGGACGATTCTCTTTAGAACAAGTGCTGAAAGCAGCGCAATCAAATTGTATTCACTTTCGCTGGATCGCTATCTCGCCGAATATGAAATCGTGAAAGGTTTAAATGGTTTAGGCTTGAAGCGTCGCGACAGAATAGAGCAGAGTGCACTGCCATTGTGCATGTCCTCCTACCCAAGACTGAGTAGAGACGATTTTATTTTAATCTGCAACGACCAGTTTAAGTTTAAATTACTCAATTCACTCTCTAGAATGTGCAGGAAAACTCTTCTCGGTCCAAAATTTGGTTCTCCCGTCGAAAAGTTTATCGCATCCTCCGTCAAATTAGGTAGTAACACTGAAACGACGAACTTCATAGCGTGCATGCTTGGGGATAAAATTGCCATTTCCCTACTACCCGTCACCGGAAACCAGCACCGCTCATTCGGGATGATATCCCATCCAGCCGGTGTTAAAAATATTGTATTGAGCTCAGACGGAAAGTACATGTTCAGTGTGGGTGGGTCTTCGGCCTGCCTCATGATGTGGTCCATCAACCTGGCGGCACTTGAGGTTCAGGAACGTCTCGGAGGTTCAGATCTTGCTCCTTTTTACGAGCAAATAAACGAGGGCATGAACTCATTGTTTATGTACCATTTGGAAAATTTATTTTATTTTGCTCAGATCAGAAATCAGGGAATACACACTATGGAGAAACGCAGCGTTGGTGCCGTCGTTCCACTGACGGAAATTCCAAGCATCATGAGAGCGCTCGGGTTTTTCCCAACTGAACAAGAAATTTTTACGATGATTAACGAAGTTAGGTACGAAAATTTTGCTGAAACCGGTGAAATCGTCAACAGCATTGACGTTGGCCAGTTTTTAAAGCTCTACATCAACCACAGACCTGTCAATTACTCGCAAGAGCAGCAGATTCAGTCGGCTTTTCGAGTTCTTGGTAAGAAGAACGATGAAGGTACATTTGTCATTGAAGAGGAAGAAATTGTTAAGCAGTTGTTAAACAACGGAGAACCTATGACAGAATCAGAACTTGCTGAATGTTTGGCAACTTTTTCTGGAATCAGGAAAGCAGACATTTGTACGAAGCAATTTCCATCACAGGGCCCTGGTCTCGTATTTCCTCAAAAACTTGATGCCGAACAGTTTAAAAACTTACTAGGATTCAAAAAAATTGAATAGAATGTCATTCTTATTGCTATTTTTCTGTTTTATGTTTTACAATTACACTTTAAGACTTTATTAGTTGATATTTAAGACTTAATTCTACTTAAAAGCTGTTGTTAACATTGCTCAGTTGAAAGATAGTTATTTTTTTTATGTCATTTTCATAAAATAAATTGATATTTACTTAACAGTAATTTTTGTAAGTTTTGTACATGGATATTATATTTATATCCCTGGTTTTGCATAGAAAGCAAGTCAAGGTAGAGATATATGACTTCAAGTAAGTATTCTTTTCATAATACGCTTTATTCAAAACAAGAGCAGCAATAATGTTGAACTTTTACTAAATATAATGGTTGATAAATATTTATTGTAAATTACGGGTATATATATATATAGAATATATATATAAAATATATCATATATATATATCATATATATATATATATATGTATCACGGGCCACTTGAAGGCATCCTGGTCAACATTAAGTTAATGTACTATAGTTCAGATTCTATTAATGATTTCAGATGTCAAAGCATTTAAAATAGCAGTTTCCTTTTAGTCTTACAATTTCGAAAATAATTTTAAAAAATTAAGTATTAAATTAATTTTATTCGATTAGTTTTTAAAGAAGCTGAATAAAAACGAAAATTTTTTAAAATTTAAAAATTTCAAGAATGGAAACGGAAAATGAAAACTTGCACAACTGTAATAACAACCAGGAAAACGGAGATAAAGTTAGTAGCTGGTTGTCCGTGGTTACCTGGTTCAAAAGCTGGCTACCGGAGAGGTCTGTTAAATTAGGGGAACCCAATCCCAAGCAAAAAGTCGCCGAATTAATTATGTGTGAATTAAACTGGCAGATAAAATTGGCAGAAATGAGACGATTGGAGAAAGAAAAAGAGATGAAAATTCAGAAAACTGGAGTTGATTATTCGTGGCTCGTTACGAATAAACCAAAAATTCAAAGCATATCTGAGGCAAAGAAATTAGAACTGGAGGAATTGTGCTACAGACTTGATCCAGATGACTGCACTGAAGTAAGTCATTTATTCACATTTTGTTTTAAAAGTTAAACTTACTAACATAAGTTACACGTATTTTTAAATTTAAAGTTTGCAATTGTCTTGTTGTACATACGTCATACAGTATTATGAAATATCAAAAAAATCTGCCTACAGGTGATACGTCAGCTATGGAAAGCCTCTCGAGATGAACCCAGTGCAACAGAACTGCCTAACGTCTTGCAAACGATAATCACCAATCACATTCAAGAGAAACAGTTGAAAGAGTGCAACCAGGGCCCTGCCTACAACACCAACTACCTAAATCTTTCAACACTATCACTGACTGAATGGTCTCGCTGGGTCAGCAGTAGTGTCACTAATTTGTTCTCACAGGGGGGTCTAGATAAAATCAGTAGAAACAGTTCTCAAGAATTGAACAGTATTAACAGTCTTGAAATGGTTGAAATGGGTGTTGGGCCAGTCGATGTTTAAAAGTGAACTTTCAAAGTTAATGTTGTTGTTTTCTTCGTAAACCTTATAAGAATTGTTAATATAAAGTTAAATAATTTTCAAGTCAAAGACATATTTTTGTAATACTTGAGTCATTCAGAGTTTTAGAATACAATGTTTTACAAAAAAAAACCTCTCATATTATTTATGAATATTCTTGTGAAAATCGTCATTTTTCATATTTGTGATTGCTATTTGATCTATATTTTTATATTGCAAAATGATTATTTTTCATTTTACTATACCTAATAACTATATTTAACTATTTATTCTTCTCCATACCTACAAAGCATTCCATATTATTTTCATTCATATTACAGAAAATTATTGACATCTTGACATTTTTTAAAACATCTTTACTGTGAATAACATTCTTCTACTCTGTTTACACACACACACACACACACACACACACACACACACACACACACACACACACACACACACACACACATATATAAATATATACCATCTTCACCATAATTGATTTTTTCAAATTTTTATAAGTAAATAATGTGAAATAATTTCTCGTTTCTTAAATTAAATAAGGCATAAAATTAAAACTTTAATTAAAAAGAGAGAATGAATGAATGAATGGATGAGTGAATGAATGAATAGATGAATGAATGAATGAATAAATAGTGAGTGAGTGAATGAAAGAAAGAGAAACACAGAAAAAAACGAATAAAAAATAAACAATGACGACCAAAGAATAATGAAAAAGATTAATATTGTCATAGACACATATAAAATTAAACCGTATGTGCAATAATAATGAGAATAATAAACAACAGCAACAACAACAACAATAATAATAATATTTATATAGCGTAATATTATATAATAATAATAATAATATAATAATTATTGTATTAAAAATATAGGGTTTGAATGGTTCATTCAATTATTCAATTGAAGGTCTATCCAACAAACAAGCAGACACACAAGTAAATATTTATCTTTACAACACGTAAGCAAGATTGAATTAAATAGTTACAAGCACGCATAAAATAAATAATAATAATAACAAATTATTAATAATAAATCATAATAAATTAATAATAATTGTAAAGATAATAACGAACAGCAATCAGTGAACAGAAAATGGAAAATTATGCTGAGACTTTTAATGCTGTGACCAATTTTCAAAAGTACAATGATGATGATAATTAATAATAATAAAAACGGTGATGGTGATTATATAAATTATGATAATGATGAGGGGAGAGATGATGATAATGATGAGGAGAGAGATGATGATGATAATGATGAGGAGAGAGATGATGAGGAGAGAGATGATGACGGTGATAAAGACGAGGAGAGAGATGATGAGTATGACGGAAAAATTTACTCTGGTACGATTATTCATAATATGATAACATAATGATGACGATGATGATAATTAAGACGAGGTATATGAACGAATCTGATGATGACGACGACGACGATGATGATGAGAATTATGATAATAGTTATAGTAATCATGATGATGATCATGGAAGATGCGATGACTATGATGACGTCACGATGACGTCAATGCCAAGCAATTTTTGCGTTAAGGTAGCGAAAAACAAAGAAATTTAAATTTAAAGACGAATTCCATTTTTTTGGGGAAAATTTTGTAACGACTAAGATTCATTCACGGTAATAATAATAATAATAATAATAAAAACAACAATAATAATAAGCATAATAATACTAACAGTAAAAATTAATAAAAAATTCATCAAAAATCTGCAACAGCATAGATAATAATAACATTGACGATAATAATAATTATATAACAGTGCATATGATTTGCTGAAACTAAACAGACACTCATACAGAAACACACACGCACACACACACATATATATATACGCACACTCACACACACACACCACACACACAAAATGAAAAATAAAGCTGTACAATTTATATGGAATGCTATATATTGAACTATATATATATATATATATATATATATATATATATATATATAAGTAGATTAATTGCAGTACTAAAAAACCGACCAATTAAAAACCATAACTAAAAAGAATAACAACAATAATAATAATAACGTAAGAGAAGAGGAGTAAAGCTTGATGTATTTATAAAAACAACAACAACAATAATAATAATAATTATAATAATTATAACGATTATGATAATATAATTTAAAATTTCACAAATAATATCTGGTATCTGTAAGTAGCAAAACGAGCGCGATTGAGTGAGTGAGTGAATATATAATAATTATATAATAATTATGAAATAATTATATATAAATTATATAATAATTATATGAGTGAATGTATAGTTATTATTATATATATATATATTATAACTCAAATTACAATAATCCATGCGATTGAAGAAGCGAATGAAAGCAATTGTTACATTTGAAGAAGTGGAAAAATATTGTCGCTACAATATACATGTATATATTTTGTATGTATGTACGTATGGTATGTTTGTATGTATGTATGGATGTAATGATGTATGTATGTATATATGCTGTGTTTATATATATACATAAATAACTCATTATTGTTATTACCATCAACCTCATCATCTTAATCATCCTTGTCATCATCATCTCTGGTTTTTTAAACATTATTAGATCTACTATATACAGGCGTACGTACATACAAACATACATTCAAACATACATACATAAATACAAACATACAAACATACATACATACATACATCCTGTTGTTTATAATTCTTCTGCCGCTGCCACTCTCGACCTGCAGTCTTCCCTGCTCCACCGGTTTTTCCAGTGCCGCGATATTCTTCCCCCAGTGTCCGCCTCGGGGGACAGTACGTACGTCCAAATTTTGAACGAAGAATATAAAAAAATCTTTCAAAATTTGTTGTCTTCATGCGGCGACGACTTTTCCACCGCTCGTTTGTTGGCCATGTCCAGCGTTGCCAGCTGTGGGTGGTTGAGATCGTGGCCCAACACCTCTGTGGGCACCAGGCTTGACGACGAGTCTGTGAGATTTGCCATTGGCTTCAGACTTGGCCTGGTCATTCAAAATAAATACACGTGCCGATGTGGCGCTGGGGCGGACGAGTTTGGGCACCACGGTTTGGTTTGTCGGTCAGCGCTAAACGAATACATTTGTCGGCTCTTTTCCAAGGCATCAATCCCGGTTCTCAAGGTTCTCCGGCATTTCTGCGCATGATGGTAGGCGCCCGGACTGATGCACACTAACACCTTGGAGAGCCGGCAGATGTTTGGCGTGGGATGTTACGGTCCCTGGCACCCTTGCCGAACGATATGTAAACCTGACAAGTAAAGAATGCGGTTTGGTCGCGACCAGGGCAGCGGACGAGAAAATGAAAAAATATGGGAACGCCCTCCCCTCGATGGAATTCTTGCCAATATGTATCGAGGTTCTCGGCCCGATGGACCCCAATACCCTTAAATTTCTTAAGGCAATATGTAAAATGATCAGCGTCAGATCGGGCGACAGCAGGGAACTGTTTTTCGCAACTAACCACATTTCGTGCTTGTTGCAGCGGTTCCTGCGTGTCTGTGTGCTTGAAAATATCCAACTGAATGCCGACACGTGCAATTAACGACAAATCAAAGTGTTAATCCATATGTTACTTGATGTTTGACAGTTCAGTGTCACTCATCATGTTTTGGTTTTAACATACACAAACACGTACATACATACATACATACATACATACATACATACATACATACATACATACATACATACATACATACATACATACATACATACATACATACATACATACATACATACATACATACATACATACATACATATATAACATTATCAAAATAATCATTTAAATGAATAGGAAAGATCGACTCGTTGTATTAAATTGTAATGAAATGAAAGAAAAAGAATATGGCGAGTGAATTGAATGAATGAATGAATGAATGAATGAATGAATGAACGAATGAATGAATGTTCAGTAGAATGAATGAATGAATGAATGAATGAACGAATGAATGAATGTTCAGTAGAATGAATGAATGAATTAATTAATTTATAGTTGGCTAAATTTTTAAATGAATGAATGATTGAATGAAAGAATAGCTAAAGAATCGATAGAAAGAATGAATGAATGACTGACTGACTAAAGGACTGCATGAATGAATGAGCAAATCAAGAAATGAACAAACGAACGAATGTAAGAATGAATGAATGAATGAATGAATGAATGAACGAACGAACGAACGAACGAATAAAACAAATCAAACGAATCATTAATGACAGTAAAGCATATTGACTAGAATTTATAACAATGCAAAGAATGGAGAGAAAAAACAAACAAAAAACCCAACATGTCCAAGATACTAACACAAGAAATTGTGAAAAAAAATACTTAATGAATAAAAATATGTGATCAAACGAATAGTAACTTGAGTAGCTTAGCTAATATTTACACATGTATGTGTGTATGTATCTTCGTGTGTGTGTGTGTGTGTGTGTGTGTGTGTGTGTGTGTGTGTGTGTGTGTGTGTGTGTGTGTGTATGTATCTTCGTGTGTGTGTGTGTGTGTGTGTGTGAAAAAACTATTTAAGTAACAAAAAGAAATTTTTACAATTTTGTGAGATTCTAATGAAAATTGTCTAACAAACAAAACAAAAAAAAAAGAAAGTGAAACTGAAACAAAAAACGAAACTTTTTACAATTGTTTAAAAGTGAAATTCCATCATGATTAATAATAATAACAATAATAATAACAATAAAAATTATTACTACTATTATTGTCAAATGAACATAATGAATGAAATTGTAAAAAAAACACACAAAAAATTAATAGCTCTTCTGCTGAATGAATGAGTGAATGAATGAAGAATGAGCAAATGAATGAATGAAGAATGAATGGGTAAATTAATAAATGAGTGAACGAACGAAAGAATTAAACAAATGAATGAATGAATGAACACATGTCTAAACACAAAAAAACACTTATATAATGTCACAAATTAAGGTGCTGAAAGCCAT